AAATGGTTCACAAACGTGAGGTTTAACGACCTTACAGTTACTGTATATAAGATTGAAAATCCTGTGAAGGTTACATAAGGATGTGAAAAAAGGGCATCAAGACCAAGAAGGTGACGTGATTATTTACTGTATATTTTAATTCTTATGTTATAGACGCATAGGGACTAAACTTACATATTTACACACTAACAGAGGAGGATGGAGGTAGGATATCTTCACTACATATTGTAGTCAAGATGTTATGGACGCATAGAGACAACACTTGATAATTTCAACACGCACACAAGAGGCAAAAGACAACAGTGGTTGGAGTTAAACACATACACTTTTGCACCAACAGGTTGGACCCACACACGGGTTGGATCTACAGATTTACTACTCAATGAAACTACCTCAATATTCTGGGCCTATTTTGGGCACCTTAGGTTTTCACCCTGTCTTATTTAGGTATGGGAACTAGTTCATTGAATTTTTGGATTCATCTTAGAGCACAATGAACGGAAATATTGATATGCATAGTAATTACTATGATGTCCTGGGCGTGGCGGCCGACGCTACCCCAGATGTAATAAGGAAACAGTTCCGCCGTCTTGCCCTTGTCACACACCCGGACAAGAATCCGGATGACGTCAAGGCGGCCACTGTAAGGTTCCAGCTGCTCCAACGAGCTGTGGACACTCTGTCGGACCCCGAAAAGCGGGCAAGGTATGACGCCAAGCACGGGAGGCGCCAACGCCAGTCCCGGCAGGCGCGGAAGGACAAGGCCAAGGCCTCCTCCTCCTCCTCCTCCTCCTCCTCCTCCTCCTCCTCTTCTTCCTCCTCCTCACACTCTTCTTCTTCCTCCTCTTCACACTCTTCTTCTTCTTCTTCTAAATCTTCCCGCAAGTTTTCCTTCTCTGCCTCTCCAACCTATACTTTCACTTACAAAACTACAGGAGCAGAGGAGGTCTCGGCCAAGGAAAGCAAAGCAAGAAAGCGAAGGCGACAGAGGCAGAAACAGCAGGAGCAGCGGAACTGAACGTGCCGCCAACACGGACCGGGAACTTGTCTGGGCTGTGACAAGCCGAGGTGAGGCGCCGAGCGGAAATAACCTGTTACCGTCATCCGCGAGCGAATCTATCTATCTCTCTTTCTATACGCCACATAGAAAGAGAAATAAATAGATTAAAAAACATTTAAAAGATCGATAATTACGATTTGCTGAGCTGGTAGGTAGGTAGTTAATTAGTTGTTAAGTAGGTAGGTAGGTAGTTAATTAGGTAGTTAGTTAGGTAGTTAGATAACTAGGTGATTAGGTAGGTAGTTGTTAAGTAGATATGTATGTAAAAAAACAAAATAAATGTATATATGTATATGTATATGTGTTTTGGGGTACTGATAATTGCTGTGTGTTTTTGGATATTGATAAGGGTGTGTGTTTTTGGGTATTGATAAGGATGTGTGTTTTTGGGTATTGATAAGGGTGTGAGTTTTGGGGTATTGATAATTGGGATGTGTTTTGGGGTATTGATAAGGCTGTGTGTTTTTTGGGTATTGATAAGTTGGGTGTATTTTGGGGGTATTGATAAGTGGGATGTGTTTTG